GCGGGGCTGCGCAGGCGCGCTCTCGCTCCTCCGGGACCAATCGCGAAACAGGCGGGAGGTGGACCTGGAGGGGGAAACTGAGGCCCGGGACCTCCGCCTGTGAGGGTCTCGTGGTTCCACTCCAGGCCGCCACCTGCTGAGTTGCAGCCTGAGGCCGGGGGTCGGGACGTGAGGGCTCAGCCTGCTGGAATCAGCGGGAAACTGAGGCAGCGAGACCGCGCACGCGCGGGAAAGGGAAGCCGGGAACTGTCTTTTGGCACTAATTGGGAAACTGAGACTAGAGGACGGTGGAGACCCTGAAGGAGGAAACCGAAGCCCAGAACCGCGGTTTTCCGGATCTGGTGGCTCCAGCTGAGGCCACTTACTGGTCTGCAGCCGGAAGCTGGGGACTCGAGTGGTTCAGCCCAGTGGAATGAGTGGAAAAACTGAAGCACATTCGTCTTGAGGGACTCAGAAGTTTGTCCTTGGTATCAGGGAGAGGTCGTGGGGAGAGGATCGGGCTGCGGTGGGGAAGCAGCGCGGAGCGCAACGTCTAAAGTGCCTTGACCTAGCTCCAGCCTCTAAGGGTTAACTTATTTTGGTTTTGTTTTTTTGAGACAGGCTGGCCTTGAATTTGCAGCGATCCTCCTGCCTCAGCCTCCTGAGTGCTGCAATTACAGGCGTGCGCGCTCACGCCCGGCTCTAAAGGGTTAATTTAGCCCCATTCCCTAAATTAATTCCCTAATTGCTCAAGAGAAGAGCCTGCCAGCCAATTATATTTCACCTATAACCAATCGGGGGCAGCAGTCGGGTTTCTTGCTCAGCCAATCAGTATTAAACTGTCGGTTCCGCCAGGTTCGGATTCAGCCAATGGGCAACTGTCCACATTGACCAATCATCAGGAGTCCGCGGGCCTCATCTCTCCAATCAAGTTTAGAGGTTGTTCTCAGCCAACCAATAAGCTCCCGGTGAAGACCTATCCCACGGGTCCAGCTTGCAGGCGGAAAGGGGGCGGGGCTCGGTGGATACTGCGCTGGGACGTTGCAGACCCGGCCTTTGTCCCTAGCTTCTGTCCCCAGCCTCTGTCCTGAGACCTTTGCCCCGAGGCAGGGACTCCGCCAGTATCTAGTATCCGGCTGACCTCAAACCCCGGGGCGGCTACATCCCAGAATTGAGAAACATGAGGACTGTCCTCAAACGCGGGTGGGATTTCCCCGGACTTCATTCAGTGGAAAAGAGGGGACAGGATATTAGGGGCACGGAGGCCCCAATTTGTTTTTTTCTTTTTTCTTTTTTTCCCCCAGTACTGGGATTAAACCAGGACCTTCCCACTCAGCTACATCCATGGCCCTTTTGCAGCTTTGTTGGTTGGTTGGTTTTTGAGACAGGGTCTCCCTATTAGCTCAGGCTGGCCTCAAACTCACAAAAATCCTCCTGCCTCAGCCTCCCAGAGGGTTGAGTTACAGTCCTGTGGACCATGCTGCCCAGTTAAACTGGTCCCAGGGAAGTTCCTCCATTTTCTTGTTAACTTTCTCTTCTGTCTCCTTCGTAAAACCCTCAGCCAGACCTCCGGTTTCTCCTGGCCAGGCCCTGGCTCTCAGCCCACACTTATGCCCCCTCCTGTCCATCTTCCACCCTGCCCCAAATGCAACTCCACCCTTCCTACAATGCAACCCTTTCCACCTCCCTCTCCTGCCCTGAATCCCTCAATGGCTCTGCATTGCCACTGACAAATAAAACAGAAACTAACCACCCCCAAGTCTTAACTGATTGTGAGCTTTATTAGGTTTAACAGATGAATAAATTGCCCTGAGCCGGGTGTGGAGGCAAATGCTTTTTATCTCAGGACTCTGGGAGGCTGAGGCAAGAGGATCCAAAGTTTGAACCCAGCCTGGGCAACTTAGCAACTTAGTGAAACCCAGTCTCAAACTAAAAAAAAATATATATAAAAAGCTATGAGCCAGGCGTGGTGGTACATGCCTGTAATTCCAGCACTCAGGGAGGCTGAGGCAGGAGGATCGCTGCGAGTTCGAGACCAGCCTGGCCTACAAAGTGAGCTCAAGACCAGCATGAACTGCATAGCAAGACCCTGCCTCAAAAAAAAAAAGAGCTGGGCCAGGGATATAGCTCAGCAGCAGAAGCACCTGCCTGGCAAGTGCAAGGTCCTGAGTTCGATTCCCCGTACCAAAAAAAAAAAAGAGCTATGGATGTAGCTCAGTGAGAAGGCTTTGTGTCCAGTCCCCAGTCCTCAAACAAACAAACAAAGTGTCCCAGATCGATACCGAGGTTTCAAGCATTTGTCTTGAAATCCCAGGAGGATGTCTTTGGAGATACAGGTAAGCTTATTCTCACATTTACACGCTACCTCAAGGGCTCTTGTATGCATGCGTGTATGTGTGTGTGTGTGTGTGTGTGTGTGTGTGTGTTTAAATCTGTCCTGTCCCCGAATCCCGAGGGCACCACCTCCCTTCCAAGCTCAGAAGCCCTTTGTGGCCGGGATTTCCCCAGATCCTCGGACCTGCCCGGCCCAGTGCCCGCCCAGTGCTGGCAGGGGAGGGAGGTGACAGGCTGACAGCAAGAGGAAATTCCCCTGGAACCTGTTTCTCAGCTTCCTGGCTCTACAGGGACGCCAGCTGGAAAGAGAGGCCCGGCCAGAGACCCCCAGCCACCATGGCTTCAGCCCCGAACCCACCCCGGGCCCCCAAGCCCAAGGCCACCCAGCCTTCACACTACCACGAGAGCTTTCTAGAGAAAAAGGGGCCTTGTGACCAGGTAAGGCGGGGCAAGGAGCTTGGCACTGCTGGGCAGCCGGGGCAGGTATGCTCCTCTCCGGACCTCAGTTCCCCACTAGCCTGGGAGGTGGGGGCGGCGCAGAATGGGCAGGACACATGCTGGGGCTGGGGAGAGCTCTGGCCATCTCTCTGTCTTCTCTCTGTCATGTCCCTGCCTCTCCCAGTGTGCTCTTTCTCTATTCCATCTGTCTCTGAGTCTCTCTGCTGATCTGTCTTGGCCTTCCTCAAGGAAAGCAGAAGCCCTCTGACTCCATGCCTCCTTCCCCTCCCAGTCCAGAGTTAACCTCGTGAATTTGAGTCGCTGAGTCAAGCTCAGTGCTGGTGTCAGGTGGGAACAGGGAAACTTAATGGGGCCACATTTAATGAGATTATATAGATACTGGCTGTGCAACCAATGCATGGTGATGTGTGTGTGCGTGTGATTAAGGGCTCAGGGCTGGGCATGGTGGCACACACCTGTAATCCCTTGTAGTCTTGAGGCTGAGGCAGGAGGATTTCAAGTTTGAGCCTAGCCTGGGCAACTGGGTGACTTAGCAAGACCTTGTTTCAAAATAAAAACTGCCTGGCAACTGCAAGGTCCTGAGTTGGATTTCCAGTACAAAAAAAAATTCAAAAAAACAATGCTATTCCCAGTGCCCGGGAGAGGGCCTGACATGTGGTAGCCCTTCAGCAAGGGTTGGGCAGAAGCATAGGTGGACCTATGGGCAGATGGTAGGTGATGGCTGGGTGCTGACCGGATGGATGGATGGATGGATGGATGGATGGATGATGGATAGACTGACAGATGGGCAGGTGGGTGGATGGATGAGTGGATGGGTGGATGGACTCAGGGACACCACTATAAAGCCAGTTAGTTCAACTCACTCTTTGAGCCTCCATCTTCATAAATTGTGAATCTGCTCGGGGCCCCTGACCCCATCAAGATTCCTTTCCTCTGTTTCCTCTCTTCTTTCTCTTTCCCTCACTTCCTTCCTTTTCTTTTTCTGTGACACTGGGGATTGAACCCAGTGCCTTTTTACTGAGCTACAAAACTCTTCTTTGATTCTGAGACAAGGCCTCACTGCATCAATAAGTTGCACAAATTGGACTTGAACTTGCAATTTTCCTGCCTCAGCCTCCCAGAGTGCTGGGATGAGAGGCGTGTGCCACCACACTTGCTTATTTTTTCCCTTTTGTGTGTGGTACTGGAATGGAGCCAGGGCCTTGTGCATGCTAGGTAAGTGCTTTACCACTGAGCCACATCCCTAGCCCAGCACCCTTTTTGTCCTTTTCTGGAGGACAACAGAAGCTGGGCCCTGGGTGGTGAGATCCTCCATGAACAGGTAACATTTGAGGAAAAACCCAAAGCTGGTGCTGATGGTAGCTCTGTGAAGGCCTAGGGAAGAGTGTCCAGGCCCAGGAAGGCAGTGCAAAGGCCCTGGGGTAGGAGTGAGCATACTCAAGGTGCCCAGCTTTGCCAGCTCACCTCTTCTCTTTCTACCTGTGGTCCCTAGGATTACAGGAAGTTCTGGGCAGGGCTCCAGGGCCTCACCATCTACTTCTACAACAGTAATCGGGACATCCAGGCAAGTACAGTGGCAGGGGCTCAGGAGCTGGCCCACCATGAGCACAGGGACCCTGCTGGGGACGTGGGTGGTAAGCCAGGGAGGGGCTACCTCATCCAAGTGGCCCGAGGGCCACAGGCCTGGTACTGAGAACCCCTGTCTCTGCCCAGCCCTTGGAGAAACTCGACTTGAGAACGTTTGTGAAGCTCACAGATGAGGCTCCCCGGGGAAGCATGTGGGACCCAGGCATCCACTTCAGCCTGGTCCTCTGGAATCAGGATGTCAAGTTCAAGGTGGGTTTGGCAAACGAGCAGTGGGAGAGGCTCTGGCTGCTCCCGGTCAACACACTCAAATGTGAGATCAACACACTCAAATGTGGAGTCGCAGGGACTCAGGCGCTGGCTTTGTGACGCTAATCAGGCAAGCCAAGCAAGCTCTGTGAGCCTCAGTCTTTGTGAGAGGGCTCCTCAGCAGAGGCCCCAGCCGTGAAAAGGCGCTGGGGCAGTATAGAACCGTGCGTTGCAGGAGCAGTGAGGAGCCCGCGTGGCTGGAGCAGAGGGAGAGAGAGGCAGGGGGGAGCAAGGAAGGTGGGAGGAGGTGGTGGGGTCACGCAGGGCCCTGTGGGCTGCAGGGAAGACTCGGGCTTTGGCCCTGAGACAGGTAGGAGCCATGGGAGAGTTCAGAGCACCAGAGGTACATGTGTTCTACGTTTTCAAATATTAATATGATATTAACATTAAAAAAGAATATCCCAAGTTACTGAGGCCTTACACTTAGACATCATCCTAAATTAATCTATCTTATTACATTTTCAAAGTGGCTCTTGGAAACAGGGAACAGTCCATTTCACAGATGGCTAGACTGAGTCTTGTCCATATGGTGTCTTTCTTCTCCTCCCTAGGCGGAGAGCCTGGAGTCTCGGGAGATGTGGAAAGGCTTCATCTTGACTGTGGTGGAAGTAAGTGTGGCTGCCTTCTCTCCCTCCCTCCTTTTCTCTCCTCTTTCCTCAGAGATCTTCCTGTTCCTTCTCATCCTTCATTCCCTGAATGAGTTTCTAGGGTGTAGCATGATGGTCTCAAACTTTGGGCCCATGACCTAAACACA